AACATGTGTTTAAAGAATATCAAAACTTTTTTTTATGCTTAGCACAAACAACTATTAGGAAAAACAGTAGTATTCTTAAAGAACCTGTTTTTTGTTTTGAAATGTGATTTTCTACTCTACTAAACCATTTTAAATTATAATTCTTCAATCTTCTGCTAAATCTGATCTGACGAATCTGGTTTATTTACTGATTTTTTTATCATGGAAATTGGTAGGCGGCAAGAAGTATGATATTGACTGATTGCATCTTCTTCGGAATCAAAACTGTTTTCTGGCATCTCCACTGACAGTACATAGTCCTTTATTTTACAGAATCGTCAGAGCAAAATCTTCACTGCTTTATTCTTAATAATGGCACTCTTCTACTGATTCTAGAAGACATACTGTAGATGGCAAGGAGTAACTCATTTTACAGACTTTTCCATATAGATTGTAGACTTTGAATTTAGAGCTATTCAGGGCATGTTTGTTGAATTTAAAGAATGATCGGAGTTAAAATCTTTATTGACTAATTCAATGTAACGGTGCTCTTTGACATATTCTTGGAGTGGTACAGTAGGTGGCAAGGAGTTATTAATAAATTAATTGTTGTCTTCTTTAGATTTGGAGTTATTTTGAGACGTGTTCATCGGTGGCACAAAGTTTTTATCTATAGAAATCAATTCATTAAAAAATAAAATTAAAATTAAATTGATTTATTTCAGGCTTGATCCATAAAAGTGTTAATACAAAATATGAATTTACAAATTATGATAGTAAATCAATAAAAACAACACTGTGACATTAATTTAAATATTTTCCGGGCTAGTTTGTGGCTTTGGTATGCACACATGTGTGCATACTCAGAGCCTCATGACTGGACAGTCTGGCTCACCAGTAATAACTTTCAGAATAGTGTTGGAGCTCCCTCGCATTCTTCGCATAAGAGACGCGATATGTTGGCGTAGTACTATATCTCTGATGCACTGCAAAATCAACGCAGACCTGACATCACTCGCTATATTGAACTATACAATTAAAATAATTATAATACAGTGGACCTCCGGTAATCCGATAGACATTTTGCAGGGCATTGTAGGACTATCGAATTTGTTGGATTATAGACCTAAGCCTAAGACCGCTATAGTCCAGAATTTTTTGCAAAAGACTACCTTGTTATCCGACAAATTAAAGATCCAATAATAAAATTCTATATGTTGTATATATTTACTCTGAAGTACAAATCATACTTCATTATGTATGTCAAATTTAGTAAATTAAATAAGACAATAGAGAGCTTACGTTTTATTATAAAATTAACGTCATTAAGGCTTTAGAACTTCAAAAAATATGCAATAACTTTACATTAGGAAATAATTATGTACAAACAAATGTACATACTACAATAATCAAAAATTATGAATCTATTTAAGAAGCATCAATTTACCATTTTCAGAATCTGAATCAAAAAAAAAACCCTACATGTTGAGCACAGTAGTGGTGGTGTACAAGTAATGACTTGTTCAATCATGCATTAGAGAAGATTGGCAAAAAATATTCAATAATAAATAATGGACCATGTCGGATTACAGGGGTTGTGTATTAGACAGGGGCCAGATTACCAGGGGTCCACTGTATAATCATTACAATTATATACATCACTTACAGATGGTACCATTTCTTCATAACAAAAAAATATTCAAAGCATGTTGTGAGTTTAAAAAGGTTGAACATCCCATGAAAATTTTAAGTTGATAAAATTTCGTAAATTGATTCAGAATCAATTTTAGATCCATAGAGTATGGTCAAGATCAAAGTGAATCAATTATTATGGAATAGGGAGCCAGTCGTGTCCAATGTGCCCACGGATTAAGTTTAAATGGGTTTTGGTCTTCTGCTGTCTCACTAACTTCTTGCCTTTGTTAAACCAAGGCATTATTCAAGGTGTAAAATTAAAAAAAAAAATGCAAATGCTCAAGTAATATAAGAGGGGAGAGGTAAGCACCCTTACATTCAGAAACTATTTAATATCAAATTAGGAAAAATATTAGTTTATGAATTTGGTGTAATAGTAATCCACACTTATGCACAATGAAAACTGTTCTCAGACCGTTTTTCTTGGCATTAAAGTTAATTATGGCATCCGAGCAGCAGTAATAGCAGCGCATGCTACCTCAAAATTGAATTGAACACTCCTTAGCCATAGTGTATTTTAATATTATCTTGTTTAGATATATAATGCTCTTTTTTACATATTAGAGAGGTTTTTGAATAAAATGTGCTATTATCAACTACTTTTTAAGTGTTGACTAAATTAGGGTTTTAAGATATAAAAGTAGCTAAAATTTTAATATTTATTTAGTTCAAGTACTTAGCTATATGTGTTATGTGGTAATCTCAATGGAGATGCCAGTTTAAAAAAATATAAACTTAAATTTAAAATGAGTGGAAAATATCATTGTAAAAATAAATATAACCATTTTATTTTATTTAAATTTTGTTTATCGCAATTTATGTTTGATCTGAAAGCGGCAAAATGTTTGAGAAAAATTGAGTCTAAAGGTCTTTTTTATTAGAAAAGACATTTTTTCGGAGAACTATTATACAGTTTTCTAAATCAAAATCCAACCAATGAATATACGCACTCTGAGAAAAGCTTCTTTTTTTTTAACTTACTTAGATTGAATTCTTCATGCACACATCAATTGCCAAACTTACACTTAGACACTTTTAATTGTAGTACATTTACTTTGCCGCTGTTTAAATATTATTTAAAATATAATTAGGAGGTTCATCATACACTAAAGCAGTGAATGCTTTTTTGGGGAGTATTTGATTTAATATATTTTTTAATTCTGTGCTTGGAAACAGGTGTTTTTAGCCGTGTTTTGGCTTCTACTGTTTACTGCTTTTTAATATATTATTATGTATAGCGTAGCAAGACTGCTACTAAGGAATAAAGAAGACGGACTAATGGCAGTCACTTTGACTTGAAGTTATAGAGACAGCACAAGACTTAACGACACCTTTAACTTTGCAAGAGTGTGGTGAAAAATAACATGGAGTATGTAGCGGGGTATGGCATACCCGTGTACAAAATTGGCTGTAAAACTTGATCCTAAAGAAAAAGTGTTATATTAATATTTTTTTATTATAATAAGACTATATTATAACATATTGGAAATAAAACATTTGTGCCATTCTAACAATTTTTAAATTTTACTTAATTGGAAACAAATCACTATTAATTTTCAATGAAAGTTTTCCCCACAAATATACTACAACTATATACACTAAAAAACAAAAAAATCTTAGGAACTGGAGTTCAAATCATTGCAATTTTTGCAAAAAAAAAGTTGCATGCCTCATACAGATAGATTGCACATGCATATTTTGTCTTCTGATCCTTTTTGTATGGGAAATCTTCACGTCTAATATAACGACCAGGAAAATTTTGAGTAGATGAAAGTGGTTCATTGATCTGGGAAGAGATTATCTGACATATATATGGGAAATTGTTTTTTGGTCTTTTCGCATCTTCAGGTTTTCGTAAACTAAAGCCAAGCCAAACATTCTGTAATAAAAAAATGGCCACAGGCCAGCACTTGCTATTACGCGACACATTGTAACTACCACACAGTTCGTCGACTACATCTTTTCCAGCTTTAGTCTAATTGTAGAATGTTATCATCATTGGACTTTTCTGGTCTCCTGTAGCATTTTTGTCGTCATGATGTAGGCTTGACATTACTATGACCACTTTATGACTACTTTTTAGAGTCATTCTCTGTTTTTCGCACACGTTAAATATCGGACCGAGTGGCTACGCCTCTTGAGATTTTCCGTTTTTATAAAATATTCCTTAATGAAATAGTTTATAGTTTAATCTTTGTTGCATGAATGCTAGACATGTAATTGTGTATTTATTGTTTGTCTATGTGTGAGAGCTGTGAACCGGCGACACGCGTCCTGATATTAAAAGACAGTAGAAGGCATTACTATTGCCTTATTATTTAGATTTCTGTGGTTTGCAAGTCTGCGATCACACCACTATCCCCTCCCGCACCCCTTTAACTTCAGCTAATCAAAGCAACAACAGGTTTGAAGGTCACAAACAAAAATACACGCAAATAAGTAACATGGTAAGTATGATATCCTTCACACTCTCGCCGGGTTAATTTTAGTATTGAAATAATACTAGTTTTTACGGAATTTATCGCGTGTATTTAACTTTTTAATTACCCGACGTTTCGAACTCTTTACAGCACTCATGGTCACGGGCAGGACTCAAACGTCGGGTAATTAAAAAGTTAAATACATGCGATAAATTCCGTAAAAACTAGTATTATTTCAATGTGTAGTGTTCGCGTAAATATAAGAAATCATTAATTTTAGTATTTGGGCATAGTGACTCTTATGCCCAAATAATCAAACGCAACACAATCAATTTCATCTATGTCATTGTGGTAGCAGCGTCTATGAGTATTCTTCACAGATTTTTACGTAAGAATAATGCTAGTAAATTGTTTCTTCATTAATCTCTGAGCGACATTATCTATGCAGTCAGTATGGTTGTACAACCACACTCTTGTTTTTGTTTAGAGAAATACTTGACGAAAAGATGTGTGTCGTAATCTCCCGAACGCTGCCCACCACAGTAGGATCCGTCCATTGTTGATCGAGGTTATAGTTACCTAGTTGGACAATATTCCGTAGGTAAATATACTCATCAACAACTTTGGGTGTTCTCAACAACAACCAGTAGAAGTGACATGGATGTATCACATGTCCTTTGTCTTGTCCATGTTCATTTTAACCTATCCATTGGGAGACACTATTGAATTCATAAATTGAGTAAAAAAGGTCCTCCAGCGATTCTGCCATAATGACTATATTGTCAGAAAAGTGATTGATATATTTTATTGTAAATTATAATTAACCAGGGTCTTATACAAAAAAGAAACTTATTTTCGCAACTTTTTGCGTAGCCTCCTTTTTTTAAAAACATTTTTTCTGTGTAGGAAGAGGAAGAATGGAAGGAGTATGAAGAGCCAGTGAAAGACTATACAGGACTCAAGATCCAGGTTTTGCAAGGTGGCACTACACAGGAGTCACGGGACTTGGCTGCTGAAGACTCTGCCCCGGACAATGGAAAAAACAAAGGTCCTTGGAACAAACCTGTAAGTTTTTTGTAATTTCTTTTGGTTTTCTCCTGGTCCTAAGATGTTTTGGCTGATAATTTGTATCAATAAATTTCAATTTAGAAATTAAAGTTAAATCTAAAATAAAAGATGCAATAAATAATTTTGACACTAAAAAAGTTGGTCATTAGTCCATAGCAGGAGAAAGCATTAAACTTAGCTTGATGCGAGACTGCCATCACAAGTCATGAAAACATTTTTTGAAATATCTTTCAATTAATTAATTGATTACTTTAGGCGGAGGTAGAACAAACCCCACCACCACCGCCTGTAGAAGAGAAACCTCGCGAAGTTAAGTCGAAAGTGTATGTGCCTCCGGTGCCCAAAAATCGGGAAGTCGAACCTATGCGTCGAAATCAAGCTGTAAGTTATATAACAACTATTTTATTTTTGTTTAAGATTTTTGCTTGCAATAAGTGTATAATCAAGGTATGATGATGAAGTATTGGGAGTACACAAGCAATTAGAGTTTGATTTCCAGTTCAGATTTCACAACTGATAATATAGTTTTAGGTGTTGATTTATGATAAGCTAAGAAGTAAAATTAGTAGAAGTTCCACAACAGTGTGATGGTCCTCCAAAAACTCCTTTACACTCTTAATAATAAGACTCAGTAGTGGAGTAATGTTGTATTTTATTCGACAGAAAAAAATCTGTAAATCATGTTTTCTTTCAGTTATCACATGTAGCTTATTACAAGTTCACTGCTGAACATAGGCCAAGAAGTGGTACAAAGAATGATCCTGGTAATTAAATATTTATGGAAAAAATGTTCAAGGAAATTTTTTGAAATGTTTACAAACATTTTAATTGGTAGAGTCATGCTACAGCTATATTATAGCCCAAATGAATTGGCTCGACCATGGGAGGACCATGCTATCACAGAATATCAGGTTGAATAGCAACTCGATGCTGCTGTTTCAAATGGTGCATGTAGAGAACTCGAGACCTTTTTTACTAGAAAAAAGGTATTCCTTGTGAGTCCTCAGGGGTGGCAACACAGCTGAATTTTGATTTTTAATTGAGGATAAATGTAGATGTCTATGGGCCACAACATCCATTTATCATTTACTGTATGCTCATTAGACCCTTATTCTGAAAAGAAAAATATGCCTAAAGCAATAACTTAAAGTAAATGGCATGTGATTGCAGAAGCATGCGCCGGATATCCATAACGACGACTACTTTCCGGTGCTGGGTGCGAGCGCCAAGCGCGGCGGTGGCTGGAGCACGGCCGGTGGCGGCGCGCCTCAGCGAGCCGGCAGCGCACGCCAGCCGCTCGCGCTCGACAACCGCTTCCACTCGCTGCAGGACGACAGCTAGCCAGGTTAACATCCTCACGTGTAGTGTGCTCATGACCTCACTATTCGCGAGCAGCGCGCGCCAGACGCTCGCGCTCGACAACCGCTTCCATTCGCTGCAGGACGACAGCTAGCCAGGTTAACGTCCTCACGTGTAGTGTGCTCATGACCTCACCTCGCGAGCAGCGCGCGCCAGCCGTTCGCGCTCGACAACCGCTTCCACTCGCTGCAGGACGACAGCTAGCCAGGTTAACGTCCTCACGTGTAGTGTGCTCATGACCTCACCTCGCGAGCAGCGCACGCCAGCCGTTCGCACTCGACAACCGCTTCCACTCGCTGCAGGACGACAGCTAGCCAGGTTAACGTCCTCACGTGTAGTGTGCTCATGACCTCACCTCGCGAGCAGCGCGCGCCAGTCGCTCGCGCTCGATAACCGCTTCCACTCACTGCAAGACGACACCTAGCCAGGTTAACGTCCTCACGTGTAGTGTGCTCATGACCTCACCTCGCGAGCAGCGCCGTCGACAACCGCTTCCACTCGCTGCAGGACGACAGCTAGCCAGGTTAACGTCCTCACGTGTGGTGTGCTCATGACCTCCCTCGCGAGTAGCGGGCGCCAGCCGCTCGCGCTCGATAACCGCTTCCACTCGCTGCATGACGACACCTAGCCAGGTTAACATCCTCACGTGTAGTGTGCTCATGACCTCACCCCGCGAGCAGCGCTCGACAACCGCTTCCACTCGCTGCAGGACGACAGCTAGCCAGGTTAACGTCCTCACGTGTGGTGTGCTCATGACCTCACCTCGCGAGCAGCGCGCGCCAGACGCTCGCGCTCGACAACCGCTTCCACTCGCTGCAGGACGACAGCTAGCCAGGTTAACGTCCTCACGTGTCGTGTGCTCATGACCTCACCTCGCGAGCAGCGCACGCCAGCCGCTCGCGCTCGACAACCGCTTCCACTCGCTGCAGGACGACACCTAGCCAGGTTAACGTCCTCACGTGTAGTGTGCTCATGATGTCTCCTCGCGAGCAGCGCGCGCCAGCCGCTCGCGCTCGACAACCGCTTCCACTCGCTGCTGGACGACAGCTAGCCAGGTTAACGTCCTCACGTGTAGTGTGCTCATGACCTCACCTCGCGAGCAGCGCGCTAGCTGCTCGCGCTCGCCAACCGCTTCCACTCGCTGCAGGACTCAGCTAGCCAGGTTAACGTCCTCACTTGTAGTGTGCTCATGACCTCACCTCGCGAGCAGCGCTCGACAACCGCTTCCACTCGCTGCAGGACGACAGCTAGCCAGGTTAACGTCCTCACGTGTAGTGTGCTCATGACCTCATTTCGCGAGCAGCGCGCGCCAGCCGCTCGCGCTCGACAACCGCTTCCACTCGCTGCAGGACTGCCCTAGCCAGGTTAACGTCCTCACGTGTAGTGTGCTCATGACCTCTCCTCGCGAGCAGTGCGCGCCAGCCGCTCGCGCTCGACAACCGCTTTCACTCGCTGCAGGACGACAGCTAGCCAGGTTAACGTCCTCACGTGTAGTGTGCTCATGACCTCACCTCGCGAGCAGCGCACGCCAGCCGCTCGCGCTCGACAACCGCTTCCACTCGCTGCAGGACTGCTAGCCAGGTTAACGTCCTCACGTGTAGTGTGCTCATGACCTCACCTCGCGAGCAGCGCTCGACAACCGCTTCCACTCGCTGCAGGACGACAGCTAGCCAGGTTAACGTCCTCACGTGTAGTGTGCTCATGATCTCACCTCGCGAGCAGCGCGCGCCAGCCGCTCGCGCTCGACAACCGCTTCCACTCGCTGCTGGACGACAGCTAGCCAGGTTAACGTCCTCACGTGTAGTGTGCTCATGACCTCACCTCGCGAGCAGCGCTCGACAACCGCTTCCACTCGCTGCAGGACGACAGCTAGCCAGGTTGACGTCCTCACGTGTAGTGTGCTCATGACCTCACCTCGCGAGCAGCGCGCGCCAGCCGCTCGCATTCGACAACCGCTTCCACTCGCTGCTGGACGACAGCTAGCCAGGTTAACGTCCTCACGTGTAGTGTGCTCATGACCTCACCTCGCGAGCAGCGCACGCCAGCCGTTCGCACTCGACAACCGCTTCCACTCGCTGCAAGACGACAGCTAGCCAGGTTAACGTCCTCACGTGTAGTGTGCTCATGACCTCACCTCGCGAGCAGCGCGCGCCAGCCGCTCGCGCTCGACAACCGCTTCCACTCGCTGCAGGACGACAGCTAGCCAGGTTAACGTCCTCACGTGTAGTGTTCTCATGACCTCACCTCGCTAGTAGCGCTCGCCAGCCGCTCGCGCTCGACAACCGCTTCCACTCGCTGCAGGACAGCTAGCCAGGTTAACGTCCTCACGTGTAGTGTGCTCATGACCTCACCTCGCAGCAGCGCGCGCCAGTCGCCGTGCTCGACAACCGCTTCTACTCGCTGCAGGACGACAGCTAGCCAGGTTAACGTCCTCACGTGTAGTGTGCTCATGACCTCACCTCGCAGCAGCGCGCGCCAGTCGCTCGCGCTCGACAACCGCTTCCACTCGCTGCAGGACGACAGCTAGCCAGGTTAACGTCCTCACGTGTAGTGTGCTCATGACAACCGCTTCCACTCGCTGCAAGACGACACCTAGCCAGGTTAACGTCCTCACGTCGTTGACCTCATTTTTCTGCAGGGTGCCAGCTATCTAGATTAATGTCCTCACATTCTAGTGCACTTTCCTTGGGGTGAGAGCAAGTTAGGTTAATTCCTTTACATATTGTGCATTTGTTATCGGTACACTTCTCAGCGGGATGATGGCTAGGCAGGTTAAAGTTCCTTATTTTCCAGTGTACTTGTCATCCTCATCTCACTGCAGGACATGCTAGCCAGGTTAACGCCCGCACATCTAATATGTTCGTTGATCTCATCTTACTGCAGTTGACAGCTATCTAGGTTAATTCCCTCACTAGTGCGCTTCTCTTAGGATAAGAGCTAGTTAGGTTAATGCGCTTATTTCTTATGCACTGGTTGTCGGTTCACCTCTCAGCGGGACAATAGCTAGCTAGGTCAATGTTGCTTATATTATAGTGCACTTGTTCTCTTTTTGTTGAATGATGACAGGATAATTTTCTCACATCTAGTGAGATTGTTGACCTCACCTTGCTGCAGAATGACTTTGATGCAGGATGAGCTATCTAGTACTGGTACACTTCTCAACAGGCCAGCTTTCTCACAGCCAGCCTGTCAGGTCAAAGTTCCTTACATTTTAGTGCACCTGTCATCCTCACCTCACAGGATGACAGCTAGTTAAGTCAAAGCCGTCAACCTAATGTCCTCGCTGTCGGCTCATTTTGTAGTTATGACAACATCTAGCATTGACCTCAATGATCTCATGTCTATTGTGCTGGCTGTGGGAGCAATGAGGGCATCCACGACTTGTTTTGCCACCAGATCGGTGCCACTTAGGAATAAGGTGGAATATTGACAGATTACATGGTGGGGAAATGAATTTGTTAAGAAAATGTAAGGGTTAATGTTCTTAAATTAACTTAAGATCTGGTCTGACACATCAAAATATTCTAAAACCTTAATCCGGGCTTTTGATCGTAATTTCGCTTTAGAAGCCTTGGAATTAAGCAAAAATATATTGCGCATTCTGGCAAGAGCCCCAACTGGACACTGTTGAAAACTTATATCCATCCTGGGACTAAGCAACTCAAGGATGTGTCGGTTCTATTCCATAACAGAAGAAACGCCTCTGCACATCCTAACTGATTGTGGAGACCCTTAATGCGCAAATGTAACATTCATCTGGGAAACTATGTACTCCGCCCGGAAGAAGTAAAAATTCTCAGGGCAACTTCTCCTACTCATTGAAGACATAGGGCTTAGCCGTGAACTATAGCCATAGCAGTGACCACAATAGATCTTTAAGGCTACAGTCTTTTAAAGTTGACTCACATCGAATCATTAGCGCCACTTTGATTTCTTTTTTTTACAGCAAATTATTGTTTCAGAGTAAAATATTTTGATAACACATAAATACCCAGATTATAAGTAATGGCTAAATTTTTTTTTTGGTTCATCTATGTGGTCTATGTTAGATAAATCAAACGGTAAATAGAGCTCTCTCGCACCCAACGCAATTTCGAGCTTTGTTCGTGTACCATTATAAGGCAATCGATAATAAAAAGGCGAAATCTATTCAGCGCGTTAATAGCTAAACATCTTCATCTCCAAAATGCGCTGTTTCTTTTTTTCTAAATATCTTTCATTGTCTTAAATAAGAGGTCTCAATTTCGTTAAATTTCGCTGTTTTCGCCTCATAAAAAACTATTTGTTTCATAGCAATAGCTGAAAATATTTATGCTATAATTATTTTTTTCTCAAGGGCAGGTGTTTAATTAGACAAATATTAAAAAATAATAATTTAAACCACTTTATTTCAAAATTAATAATTATTTCGATCGACCTATAAAATATTGACTTTATAAACAATAATTGCGGGCAATATTCCTTAGTAGCCGCTGAGCGGCTGTAGCGTTCAGACGTCTTGTCTGTGCCAAATTTTTGCACTTCCTCTCGCTCTAACATTCCTCTTTCTCTCTCTTTCCCTAATCTTGGTTGCGCATTGTTACGAATTGAAAGTTGCTCTACTTTATTATTTTTTGCATATAATTCTTTAAGGGTTTATAAATCATTTTGTATTTGTTTTATAACTTTTAATTTCGATATGGACCATAAACGTAAAAAATATGCTTGTACCAGAAAACGAAAATTGAAATCAAACGTTGAAGCAATGAACAAAAATAGAATTCAAAGGTAAGTTTTTTTTGTGTTTCATAGTAAAATAGTTAACAACGTGCATATGTGTGAGCACTTGGTTAAATATTAGGTATATAATTAGGTAGGTACTTTTAAGAATAGTTTATAAATGAGTTGCATATTTGTACCCAGGTCCGCTGCTGGTTCTCGCCAACCATTGTCAGATGTTAGCACCATTGAAATTGACGAACACCGTTTATCAGGACATGACGAAAGTAGACTTTTACGAACGACTTTAACAAATATAGTGTCTGTAACAAAGCCTGACAGTCAAGATATGACGAATAAAAAGGAAAGACGGAAACGAAAGTTTGAGGAGGCTTTTCCCTTTCGCCGAATTTCAGTAAGAAAACGTCAGGAGCTTATAAATGTTAGTCAAAACCACCAGCTACAAATTGAAAATTATACAGAAATGACCAAGGATGCCGAACTTTTTTGCCTAGACGGACGAAGAATCGTATCGATCAGATATTTTTTAGAAATTTTAGGGAAGATTGCTGATCATAATGCTAAATCTTTTGGATGCAGATATACAAATCTGAAATGTATCGGTGAGCGACGAAAAGGTTTTGTATCAAAATTACGTTTTAAGTGTGAACTCTGTAACTCAGAGTTCGACATATGCACTGAAGATCCATCTAACACTTGTGATGTAAATCACGGTGTTGTTGCAGGTACTATTAGTATTGGCTGTGGGTTAAGCAATTTGAATGAATTATCAGGTAATACCGATATACCTGGTATGTCAAAAAATTTATACGCCCAAACAAGCAAAAAAGTTTATGAATGGTTCAATATAACGGCAGTGGACGAAATGACTAAGGCTGGCGTCGAGGAGGCTGAACATGCAAAAAAAATTGGACATGTAGACAGTGAAGGCACACCAATGATTGACGTGATAGCTGACGGATGTTGGTCAAAAAGATCATTCCGTAATAATTATTCAGCATCATCGGGAGCAGCAGCAATAATCGGTGCATATACTGGTAAAATATTGTACCTTGGCGTGAAGAATAAATACTGCATTGTATGCGCAAAAGCTGAAAACAAAAAAACTGAACCAGCAAACCACATATGCTACAAGAACTTTTCTGGCAGTTCTTCCAGTATGGAGTCAACAACACTCGTTGAAGGGTTTAAATCCTCACTTGAAACTCATGGATTAATTTATGCTAGATTAATATCAGATGGCGATTCAAGTACTTATAAAAAAATATTAGATAGCAATCCGTATAAAAACTGCAAGGTTCAGAAGATCGAGTGTAGAAACCATCTTCTAAGAAATCTGTGTAACAAGTTGAGAGCACTTACTAAGGATACACATATACCTATTCAATCAAGGAAACTTTTAACGGACTTCAAAATTATGAAATTACGCAGATATACGGTGCGGGCTATTAAGCTACGGAAACGCGAAGAAGTATCTGACAATCAGAAAATGATCAAACTTCGATCAGATATTTTGAATGCATTATACCATTATTTTGGTAGTCACCTTAACTGCGATGATGCTATATGCCCCGCGACTGACAAAACTGATCGTAATACGGCACTTGACTTAGCGAACACAGTTTTGTGGAGAAAAATGAGTCAAATTGTCTCATTCTTAGCTTCAAATGCTAAAAGTCTCGTTTTTGACGTAGATAGCAATCCCGCTGAAACATTCAATTCGGTGATAGCTAAATATGTGGGAGGCAAACGAATCAATTACACACAAAGAAATTCATACCAAGAAAGGTGTGTGGCTGCAGCGATTTCTTTTAACACGAAAAGACCAATATATACAATCTATAAGCGCATATTTGGCAAACCCACTGGTAAATATACGAATTCATATGAGACACAAAAACTGAAAAGAAAAGTGTACAAAAGATCTTTTCGAAAAAGATTTCGTAGAAACATGGATGATCCAGATTATGGACAAAAAGCACAAAGACCAGATATGACTGAAGAAGATTTTCAGATGTCAAAAAGTGAATTTCTTAAGCAAATGGAACTTTCAGACCAACAAAGAGACGATCTACAGATACATACGATAGATCAAAGTTCTAGTCAAGAATGGTTAGAAAACAGAAAAAATCGATTAACCGCGTCTATATTTGGTAAGATATGTAAACGGAAAGAAAACATCAGCTG